AAGGAAAGCAAGTTTTAATACTTTTTTTTTTGAAAATCGGTGAGAAAGATTAGGATTGAGAAATTATGAAATAGTTTTGTTATTAAATAAATAAATCAGTCAATAGTTTTTTTTAATCTATTTTATCAATAATTTTAGAAATTTGATTAATTTGTCCCATTAAGTAAAATTGATTAATTTGTCCCATTAAGTGATTTAAAATTTCAATAGATATACATCAAAAAAATAGATAATTATACTTTATTTTTGTGTATAACCATAGTTTATGGGAGAAATTGAAAAGGGTACTGCAGTAATTATGAGAAAAGTCAAAAAGGTTTGTGGGTTGGAGGAAGTCAATAAATATTGAGGGTTTTTTTTAAATCAAAAAACTAGAAAATTAATATTAGAATATTAGTGCTCTCACAAAACTTGTAGATTAGAAACTTCTTTTCTCCTAATATGATATATAGATACGATAGTCTAAACTTAAATTAAAATAAAATAACAATTGGTTTAAAAAAATTATGAAGTGTTTTAGTTTCGAAAAATGCTTGGGACCTCCATAGTTGGAGGCCTCCACGACTCCCAAAACGTTATGTACCAATTATGTGTTTTTGTTTTTTTGTTTTTTTTTTTTCTTTTATTCCTGGACCAATTACAAGTGAGTGTAGGTTGTGAGATTGTGTTTTTTTAGGGTCTATAGCATTGTTGTTTAAATTATGTATTTTGATGAGTTATCTTATTATGATAAAAAAAAATACAGTGACATCATTACAAGAAAATCATAGTAGAGAATTATTATCCGCTACTAATACATGTGAATAACGTATAATGGTATCACTTATAAGTTAGATTTTATGATTATTATTTTTTAGATTATTAGCTTAACAGATTTAAAATAAGTTGAAATTTTGTTTGGTGCAACTTTTCATAATCTGTTAAAAAAAATTGAAGTTAAATAAATTGTCACATAACTTGTATGTTATGCAAATATCTAAGATAACCTCAAAAGTTATAATTAAGATAAAAGAAATGGGTCCTTTTGTCCATAATTATTTAAGGGTTTCAAAAATGAAAAAAGTAATTACAATTTGTAACTTAAGAAAATTTCACTTATTTGGACTAGAAAAGCTAAAAAAGTCAAATAAGTAATACAAAATTGCAACCAAACACCATTAATCAACTTATTTTTAATAAAATAAGTTAAATAAGTTGGTTGGGCTACTAAACGAGACCAATATATCATGTCATTGTGGGTTGTGAGAGGTTTTTTTTTTTTTTTTCGCAGTCTTTTCCAATGTTTGTGACTATGCAATATTAGATTTTTCACGTAATTCAGTTCTATTTTGGAGTTGGTTTAGGAATTGACTTTTTTAATGATTTTTTAATTTTTTATTAAACATTAAAAAAAAGTGCAAAAAAATACAGAGAATGAGTTAATTTTTTCTAATGACTTTTTTAACTTTTTAGCTAAAATCTTCTCTTTCCAAACACCCCTTTAATCTCAATTTGAATTCAATTAGTGTTACCTTTAGGCCATATTTGTTTGGGTGGACATAAGCTTGGAATTGGACTAATAGTCCAATAAAATTATTAATCTGATATTTGGTTAAACAATTGAAGTACGGACTAATTATTTTAAACTTGACTATTAGTTAAGATAGGATACATAATCCAACGGATTCGTAGTCCTAGAACTATTAGTTATGGGAATACTAATCCAATTCGCCCAAACAAACATGGCCTTAAGTTATTTAGATTCATAAATTTGAAATGAAAAAATTTGAACACTAATCATTCAAAGAGACTAATTCAAATTTAGATGAATTTATAGATTTGAAAATCAATGTAAAAGTAATTATTGAAATCATTCCTACCAAAACTTGCAGGTGTACAAAAATCATAACAAAATACATCTCTTTTAAAATACAATTTAAGGCCTACTATGAGTAAGGCAAGGTTGTATTTTTATTAAAAATTAGAAATGATTATTCTGACCCTAGTTATTTTAATTCAAGCTTGGCTCATTAACAAACTTCAATCTTGATTTTGAGATCATTATATAATATTTCAATGAAATGAAGTCTTATCTTTTATCAATTTATAACTTCTAAAAAAAAAAAAATTTTGAGGTATTTGGATGAGTGATAGCCTCGTTTGTTAGCTAACATTTTTGTTTTTAGTTCTTAAAAAATTTGAAAATTGAAAATAAGAACACATTTAATGATTTTTTTTTTTTTTTTAAATGTGGCAATAGTTTTTAAAAATTTTGGAAACAATATATATATTATTGTGCTTTTACTTTTGTTTTCAAAACAAATTTTTACTCCATTCTCTCTTCCCAACTACCTCTAGCCAGCACTACCACCCACCAATTATGGCCACCATTGCCAGCAGCCTCTGTTCACCCTCCACCACCGGTTACTACCTCTAACAACTCACCAAAAAAGCTTTAACTTATTTTCAGAATATTTATCTACACCAAATAAGGGCAAAAACTTTTTTTTTTTTTGGTTAAATTTTTTACTCATATATTTTCTTCTTCTTCTTCTTCTTCTTTTCACTCAAGTCAGAGGTCCATTTCTAAAATGTTACCTATCTGTACACGTATCACTTATTTGTACTACTATCTATTCAAATGTCTTATTATTTGTACACATGTCATCCTTATCTGTGCAGTTATTTGTTCAAATGTCTCACCACCTGTACACATATCACCTATCTGTTTAAATATCTAACTATTTGTTCAAATGTCTCATTATCTATATACATGTCACATATCTATTCATCGATTTGTCAATATCACCTATCCACATTACTATCACCAGTTGCCGTTAACGACGATTTTTAAATGACTTTTTCAACTAATTTTTCAGCGACTTTTCCGATGCCAATAAATTTTTCAATAACTTTTCAACATGCTTCTTTATCATAAAAATAAAATAAAAAAATAAAAATAAAAAAGGGCAAGGAGAGAAGGATCAAAAAATATATATATACATATATATATATATATGGGACCAGTCAGCATTCACTGTTAGTGGTGGGCATCTCACTCTATTCTCTAAAATATAATATTGTGCATGTACTGCTGGCTGATAAATAATAAATGTTTTGTTTTAAATTTTGAGTCTTGCTACCAGAAAGAAAGAATAAAGTGAGCTTTAAATAAAAACAAACCAATTGCCTCAACATGAAGACTCAAAAGAGTGATGGGTACTCCATCTTGTAGTCCCAAAATTAAACCTTCATATGGCATAAATTAAAATGAGATTTTTTTACTAAAATAATTATAAAAAGATAAAATAAATTTTTTAATTCAATAAGATAAAATATCACATTCAAATCATAATCATTCTATTTTTTCTCTCATAAAAGTCAACAAAGCTAAAAAATCTATTCCAAACGAAACTTTTTAACCCTAAACTAAAATAGTCAAAAAACCAACCCACATCTCATTTTTTATTTTTTTTTTTAAAGTTCTCCAAAAAAAAAATTATGATTGCCTATTGATTTTTTTTTCTTGTTTTCCTAAACCAACCAAAATAGAAAAAGAAACACCAAAACCGGTCCGTGCTATTATTTTTTATAAATAACAGGGATCCTCCACTTTTGGTCCGAACTATTTCTCTTCTTTGCAATCCTATTTTCGCAATCAATCATTTCTTCATAATGTCCATAATATTTGAGGCAAAAAATTTTACAATTCGACAAAAGAGTGATTATTTTTATCTTCAAAAATATAATTGATTATTTAAACATTTCAAAAAAATTCGAACATATTTCAATTTCCAAATTTAATCAAAGGTGAATGAAAGTAGAAAAGGCAAGTCACTTTAATTTAACAATCAAAGAAGCTAGATAATCTCAAGATAAATCAATGAGCAAATCCTACCCTGATGAATGGTAAAAAATAGTACTGTCAAATTTAAATGGTTGCACCAAAAATGTGTGATGATGGGAACATCAGTCCAAACAAAGCAATTGCAACAGTTGCCACAATAATGTACACAATCTCAGAGAAACTTAAAGACCAAATTCAAATACACACTACTAGATCTATTATAACTGATATTCAGCACCCCCTTATGTCCAGCAAAAAAGAAAAACCAAAACCAAAACCAAAAACAAAAACAAAAAACTTCAATGCCAAAACCCTATTTTCACTTGTGATATAGTGGTCTCGAGTTCAATATAATCATGAGGCCACAGTGTAAGTCGGGCGGGCTCAACCCGAGTAACCCAAGTCCAGCCCGAGTTTTTTTAAGACTTGGGTAACTATATCTTGTAATCTGGATAGCCTTGTGCAGATTTTTGATGCCCGAATTGTAATTTAGGCCGGGTTTGGGCAGAATCAATGGCCAACCCGAGCAACCTAAACCCGAATTGAATTGAATATATTATATAAATTAAATAAAAGAGTTATTCTTAATTTTTATTTTTTATTTTTATTTTTGGTTAGTCTTTCACTGTTGGATTAGCATCTTTTATGTATACCTTAGATTAAATCTAAAAAAAACCCTACTTACCTTATCTCTCTCTCTGACTTCTGCTCCCCGATAGAGTTGGAAATATGGAATTGGATTCTATTAGCCCATCTGCAAGTGAGCACGGAAAGGATTCTATTAGCCCATCTGCTCCCCGATAGAATTGGAAATATGAAAGCACCTTTATATTCAAACTTTTGCACAGGTACTTGTTCTCATCAAAGTTCACCTTAAGAAATAAAATTTCTGGGTGCTCTTCATCTATCTACAGGTTTCTGAACTTGTGAATTTCGGGCAATTCGGGCAATTCAGACTAACCCGAGTTCAAAATACAAAGCTTGGTTCGGGCTTGGACAGCAATGCTCAGGTTCATAGTCAGGCTTAGGCGGGCTTGGGCACTGCCAAATACAATTCGGGCTGGGCTTGGGCAAACCTCCAACCCGACCGAACCCGCCCGAGTTGCACCCCTAAAAAATAGTACTGTCAAATTTAAATGGTTGCACCAAAAATGTGTGTAATGATGGGAACATCAGTCCAAACAAAGCAATTGCAACAGTTGCCACAATAATGTACACAATCTCAGAGAAACTTAAAGACCAAATTCAAATACACACTACTAGATCTATTATAACTGATATTCAGCACCCCCTTATGTCCAGCAAAAAAGAAAAACCAAAACCAAAACCAAAAACAAAAACAAAAAACTTCAATGCCAAAACCCTATTTTCACTTGTGATATAGTGGTCTCGAGTTCAATATAATCATGAGGCCACAGTTTGAGAACTCTTATATCTACAATACAAACGGCTAAAGAAAGGTGCAACAATCGACAAACAGACCAATAACAACAACTGTCATAACAGGGGGGAGGGGACACATATTTACCTACATGTACAGAGTCTAAAGTCAGCAACTTCAGTGATCGAGAGAACCAAGGGATTCAACATGCACAAGTTAAAGAAAATCAAGACCAATACCATCAAACAACCAGGAAACTAAGGTTTCTTCAAAATGCTAGACTCCTCTTTGGAATTCTAGCCTCATTACCTAGTTCCAGGTTCTTTAGCTGCAGGAACCTTGGCAGAATAAGTGGCCATGTCTACATCAATGAGTGATAGGTCATAGGGAACATTGTGAGAATGCGAGACATCCATGAGCAAAGAAGAGTTCATTGCTTCGGAATTCTTGGTATTGTGCGTTGTACCAAGATTTTGGGGAGTAGTATTACCAGAAGAAGGAAGACTAGAAAGCTGTACATCATCCAACTTGTTCCCAAACAGATGCTTATTCTTTCTAACAGTATCCATCTCCGGACCAGTTGGAACAAAGGTCCGTGCCCGATACTTCCTTGGTCCCACCTCACCCTCACCATGGTTGTAGAGCACATAATCATGGTAGGTCGGCGCAAACTGCATGAAATAAAAACCGATCATCAGGCAGGTGGTGCAACTTAGAGGTGAAGCTTCTTACAAGCTAATAGCTGATAATTAGAAAGCAAAAGTTGAAAGCACCCATTCCCCTACTTCCTAATAATAAGTCTTTTTCAACTTGTTTAAGTTATTTTTGCCTTGTAAGTTGAAAACAAAAGCGCACCAAATACTTTGGCACACATTTCCTAAATAAAAAAATCTACAAGCAACTCCATAAGATGCACCAAACAGAGCTAAAAAAAGAGATACAGTCTCTAAGGAGCCCATGAGCAGAAGATAAGTAGAATAACTCACCTGGTGGACTGTGTCATGGTAAAAGTCATTTAACTTCAAAGCATGCGCAAGGCTCGCTGTGAACCCACGAGAGACACCAATATTGGCACCAGCATACTCTTTGTATGGAAATGCATAAAGGTGGCCCACAGCTGCAATAAGCATCTCAACACAAATTATAAAATTCTGGAATTCAGCAGCCTCCTCTGTATCCCTTATAAATCCAGATTTTGCAGCAAGAAAAACAAGAACACCCTAATGGAAGAGAAAGATAATAAGAAACATACTGGAAGTCTTACAAATCCCACATCTATATCAATGCAAAATCCAGCTACAATATGAGCAAAAAAATCAATTTTTATGCATATCCAACAGGAAACCATGCGCACTGTATTATTTGTTTACACTTTACACCAATTTCCCTTGCTCAAAAAGAAACAAAGTGAAAAAAAAAAGGGGGGGGACCCAGAAACCTGTTTGGGCCACATTCAGAAGGTATTCCAAGGTATGCATTGCTTCCAGCATTAAACATACAAGTTATTTAACTACAACTTTGGGGAGTTGGCATTCTTACAACTAATCAAGCACCAGCTGTTTTTTTAGAGAAGGAAGTGATCACAAAATTCACATCACAAACTATTTCACCTTGATTATATTTCTAGAAAAGGAAAATTACAGTGACCTCTCTTGAGGTTACAATTAGAAAAACTCTCCTTAGGTTTCTTACATTACACTTAGCTTCCCCAATGGTTTATTGACATATCAAACCACCTTCCCCCAACCCTTACAGGTTAGTAGATAAAGAATGCCAAGCGGCTCCTACATAGGCTATTTTAGTCAAAAAATAAGTATTCATGAATGTACAGGATGTCCTTCTCATCACTTATCCTCCAATTGTCTCACCACCAAACAAAAACAATCAATTACCATTTGTTTTTTTTCTATTCAAATATTGATCACCATAATACTGTTAATAGAGGAAAATAAAAACTAATTGGCATAGAGACAGTTTTCATTGTGGCAGCCACAAAAAGGCTATGGAAGATGAAGATGAAGATGAAATAGGATAATGACAATAATTGCAGTGGGCACAATTGTCAGTTTTGAATCTACTACACATCAAAATGCTGATGTGTTCAGAGAGTTGCAGCAAGGTTTGACTAACTGTGGCAAGGGGTCCATCATGAGGAAATGTGAATGGTCAACAAACATGGAAAGATAAAAAAAACTGATGATAATAAGAGGTCATGGCAGCTTTCTTCCATTGTCCTCAATTCCATGTTATGAAATAATATGCTAGGTCCCATAATATATAAGTACCTTTTTGTAGGAAGATTTTATCAATTCCTTTCCATTTCTATCAAATTCCATGATTCTTTTATGATATTTTCTTAATAACATCTAATTCCTTTATTCAACAAAGGGTCCATTTGCATTCAATAATTACTTCTGGACTAATTGAATAGGTGTGGCACATCCTGGAAGCAAGTTTGTCATGGATACAAAATGTCAAAGGTTCAAATCATATAATCCCTACCAATTATTTCTCCTTCTATCAGTAACAAGGGATCAATTGAAATGGATGGACATAGCAGGTTCTAGAAAGTCATGTGGGAGGGAATGAAGAAAAATGAAACTCGAAGAAAACATAAAGAAATAGGACATTATTTATTTTGACTAAAGAGATGGACATGGTGGCAGGTTTAACTCTGCAGATGTGATGGAAATAGAGAGATAATTGATGGCGGTTCCAATACGTTGTCATGGTGGTGGCAACCATTTGTTGGATCATCTATGAACTTGATGGATGCTTTAAGGAGATAAAAGGGTCTGCAAAGACTAAAAATATTGATGGTTAAAAGTGGAGATGATAGTGTTTCATGTTGGAGCACAGTTTGAATTAAGGATAATATATTGGCTCTGGACATAAAACAAAATTGAACAATAATGTGAGTAGTGGTTCCACATGGATATTGGTTGTAGAATAGTTTTGTAAGGGCACAATAGTATTGTTATTTAGTCAAGAAATCAAATAAGAGCCAGAGTGTCATCTTGGTATTGAGAAAACTTTAATCACTAAAGCATATGTCAATAAAATAATGGTCGAATAATAGCAGGGAAGGAGAACTATAATAGGAAACAAAAAAGGAGGGAACTGTAACTTCAGAAACCACAAGAATGGTCTCTCTAATTGTCAAAAATCTCAAGGGGATAAAATGCAATTATTCTTGTAAATAATAAAATCCCAGAAAGTAGGGCATTAATATAAGGAATGCACCATTCTAGAATTAGGATTCAGAAAAGGCTAGGAATTCAATTCAGTGATAAAATAATGACAAAATTAGACAAGATCCTACCTGCCAATAGGTCAAGAAAACAACAGACTTGATTATGATAAACTTTGGAACTGGATTGAATGGCTGAAGCAAATCTCTGCACGCCACATAAAACAAGGCCAACGAATATAGCGCCACTGAGTACGATACTGTATAGACAACGGTGAGATAAAGGTATGACTGGTCCACACTGAAATTCCCATCATGATATTTCCCTTTTGCGTAAAGTATGAATGTAACTGCCACTAAAACAGGCTTGAGTATCACAAATTGCAAACAACCTTGCTTGCATCTCCGTATGAAGCGCCTGCATAGCTTTAACAGTTTCAGAAAAATGATTCATCAAACATGAACTAAGAGATGCAATCTTCAAATGTGGGATCACTTGAATGAAACTGGGGATAAAATAATCTCCACACTTGTCCTTAAAGATCTAAACTATACCCATCATATTGTCAGGCAAAAAAAAAAAACATGTACCATCCCATTCAACCATCCCAAATTTTCAAAAACATCATGGGTGACAGACAAGAATGAGGAACCTATAAGTCCAGTCAAATCATTCCAACTCAGGAATATAAAGATTGCACTATCCCTTCCAATCATTTCCAAAATTCATTAAATAAAACCTCAAATTACTTGGACCCTGAGGGTTGTCACCATGCATCAAAAACCAATCACAGTAGATGGCTGATTAATTTAAAACATACTCACCCATCTAACGGAATGGGAGAAAAGCAGCATGTCATCAGATACCAGCTTGGCTTTAGAACCCGACCACTTAAACTCAACACAACAGCTCCTGGTCCACCCACCCATGCCAAGCACAATGCCAAGAAATTATAAATGACCCATGCTTCATATCTGAAACAGTATATTAAAAATTAGCATGTTCTACCAAAAGCAGTGTAAAGCTCTTGGAAATTATAAAAAAAAAATATAAAGTAAAGACCTCTGGTAAACCCATTGACCACATAACAAGGTGCTAAATGTGAAGATATCATATGATATATTGAATACAATTGTATATAAGAATGTAAAGAACCTAAAGACATCATTATGGCATGACAAGGCTGGCTTAATCAATGTTCTTGCATTTAAGCTGATAATCAATGTTCTTACATTTAAGCTGATAGGTTAGTAAACATAAAATTATGAATTAACAGCTGGATTACTCTTATTCTTATCTATTATGCTAGGTATTTGTTTCTTAGTGTGAAGAATGGGCATCAAACCAAGACGTGCCATAGAGTATCTGATATCTTGTCAGTGGATTACTCTTACTCTTATCAATTATGCCTGTTCAATTCAAAATTGTATTTCAAAATTCATCCATAGCATGTTTGTCTTATTCTTATCTATTATGCCTGTGCAACTTTTAGCATGAAAGTTTTCATTCTGATCATCAACATTGATCTATGAACACACTTTCACAGCATATCCCAAAATGCAGCATCTCTCAACATTAAAAAGACCAGAAACTGTTGTGTCAATAAAAAGCACAATGAATGATACCACAAGGCACAAATAAACCAATACTGTAGCCTGTAGTCTAGAATACTTGGATACTTACCACAAAAATACTAATCACTGGCCAGGCTTTACACCTTCCTTTATCTACTTCAAACTAAAACTGATTTTGACTTTTTACCCATTTACATATATAAGGAAGTGTGGAAATGTGAACATTATGGTCACTTCTTTTGAAAATCAAATTAATGGGGAGCAGACAAGAGCGGAAATGGATCATGAAATATAAAAGAAAAATAAAGATAAAGATAAATAATGATTATAGCAAGAACAAGAAGAGTTAAACATTAATGGAAAGTAAGTGCGCCACTTAGAATTAAACACAAAAACAGGCATGATGGTCAATACTTTCCAAAGATCAAATTAACAGGGAGCAGACATGACCGAACTCAACAATGGAACAGAAAAGAACAATAAGTTGAAGATAACAATGATTATAACAAGAACAAGCATTGTTAAACATTGATGAAAAGTAAGTCCATTTAAAATTAAACACAAAAAATAGGCATTCTTACATTTCCCGGATAGAATTAAAGTAGATTGCGCTCTCATTTAGGACGAGCGACAAGAAAGACATCAATGCATAAACCTGTCAAGGTAAAGAAGACTTACTATGGTCACTCACAGCAATACAAAGATAATTGTAATACAACATGAACTATTAGCATCAAAGTGATGCCTCTCATGGATTCGATGCGAAAAGCGGTCCAAGAATAAACGTGGGAATAAAATCAAAAAGGCAATTAAGAAAAAATAAGAAGACAGAGACACTAAACAAGAATAAAATACCACATTTCCACGAGGAGAAAAAAGAATCACATATGCAATTAGAAGTGCAAGTCCACAGTTAGAAGTATTGAACAAGAACCAAACATGCTCAGTGACAATAGAGATCATGAGAACTACAAATTTCCAAACTTTCTCTCCCCTGTATAGCACCCAAACACAAATGTACACAAGTAAACCAACACAATTGTTCCACAATCATGCTAACATGTTACAACCAATGCATATGCACTTCTACTAAATCTACATGGAACAAAGAATATAGCCAGTCTAAAGTCAATTCATAACCAATGAACCCATATGTAAACTTGATCTATGAAGAGTATCACAAGCCAATAACCTTGAGGCATTCAATTGACAGAATAAGAAAGGTAAAGGAACATAATGACTGTTTTTATTTCCATCATGTGTATTCAGTTGTTGCATGAAAATGTGGGTTCCACCATAACTATTTTGATGAAGGAAACATTTTCCCTCAAATCGTTTCCCATAAAAGTCTAGGATTATGCATCATGGGAAAGTTCAAATTGTTTTTGTACATAAACTTTTTGGTAAACTGAACCAAACCAAATCAAACTAAGCCTTATGTCCCAATCAAGTGAGGTTGGCTATATGACCTTTTTCACCGTTCTACACTGACAAGGGCTATATGCTCAGTTAAATTAAATAAATTCGTAGACTGTTTTTATTTCCAGCATGTGTATTCAGTTGTTGCATGAAAATGTGGGTTACACCATAACTATTTTGTTGAAGGAAACATTTTCCCTCAAATTGTGTCCCATAAAAGTCTAGGATTATGCATCATGGGAAAGTTCAAATTGTTTTTGTACATAAACTTTTTGGTAAACTGAACCAAACCAAATCAAACTAAGCCTTATGTCCCAATCAAGTGAGGTTGGCTATATGACCTTTTTCACCGTTCTACACTGACAAGGGCTATATGCTCAGTTAAATTAAATAAATTCGTATCTTTTTTTACTACTACATCCTATATCAATTTAGGTCTTCCCCTCCTCCTTACATTTCCATTTATGATGATCATATCACCCTTCCTTAAGAGTTACATCTATAAGTTTACATTGTACATGATCAAACCATCATAAGCTTGTTCTCTCTCAACTTATTTTCAATTGATACTGCTCCTACCATTTCACGAATATATTCATTTATAATTCTATATTTCCTAATTTTACCACACATCCATTTAAATATCAACTAAACTCATTTTATGAACGCATTGTTTTGTAGTTGCCCAACATTTTGTCCCACAAAGCATCGTTGGTCTAAAGAGAGTGATAGCTTGGGACACAAACAACAAACAATAACTGGAACATATTATGTCACCAAAAATATGGCATTGAAAATATTGATTCCTACAGCATCGGAGCACCAATCATACATGCCTCTAACAATGAAACTCAAAAGTCAAATTCCTATTATTATGTTGTTTACCAAACAAATCAATGCATATTCTTATCAGCTACATAAAACCTCAAAATTTCCACTAAACTGGCCATGATTAAGAAAGCACACGTGGCCAAAGAAACTCATTGATGGATATTGTTCTGCATACTACATTCAAGTATCTCTCCACAACGCATCAACTAATGCACAAGATTCAAAAAAATATCTTCCAAAGGCCAATGTTTAATGCAATTAAATCCCTGACAAATTATATAATTGAAAACTGTGTACAAAAATCAAAAAGAATTTTGAAAATAATAGAACTCACAGGAACCATAAAAATGATGCGAACAATGTATCTCTGATAAGTGGGTTCAGTATAATTCAACAGGTGCCTGTAAATGTGGATAAGCGCTAAAGCAATGGCCCCAACTGTGCAAGGTAATGCAACAAGGAGATAGTATATCGGCGCCATTAGCTCGTCAAAGTCTCAAGCGAGACTACAATTTCATCCACCAAGCAACTTCCTGTTTTTTTGTTTTTTTCCTCTTTCCAGGAACTGAAAAAACATAATAAATGATAGTAAACAAAAAGATAGGTAATAATATATATATAGAGATATAAAAAAAAAATGAAAAATAGATAGATCATACAAACCTCAAACACAAATGTTTCCACTGGCAGGCTCTATTACTGCTCTTCTTGGTTTTGTTTGTGATACCCAAATCCCAAAAATTGAATAACACACTCAAATTTTGGAAGTGGGTCCGATTCTTGAAAACCCTAATCCCCAAAATTGCTATTGCCCGTTACCCAGAAATATAAACTGTTACATCATTTGATTCCAAACTTTGCAATACGGAAGACAAATTACCCAAAATGGGTTCGAATATCAACAAAAAACGGAAGCTAAAACTAAAAAAATTCAAGAAATAAAGTTACAATTGATACCTAAAGCAGAACAAGACAAACCTATCCTAAATATGTGTATATATGTATCTTCCAAAGATTGTAAAAATGGGTGTGGAATTGAATTGGATTGGATTGGGTTGGATTGGATTGGTTATCAATCACTGATGTGAATAGATGATGATAGAGAGAAGAGGGGAGTTGAAAAGTGACTGACCTTGAAATTGAATCGATAAGATCGGAGAAGAGAAATCGGATTGTCGGTTTGTCGGTGGTGATGAAGGAAGATAGATCTATAAAGGGACGCAAATTCTGGAATCTGAATACTCTCTCTCTCTCTCTCTCTCTCTCTCTATGTCTGTGCTGTGGCAAACAGAGAAGCGTGTGCTGTAGCTTACACGGTAGATAAACAATGATAATGGCTGCTTGCAATTCAGGCCCCCCACCTAGCAGTTTTTTAACCGAAAACACAACCAAGTTGCCACCCAACGATTAAAATAAATAAATAATATTTTCTATAGAAAATTATCTATACACATTCAAATTTTTATTATAAAAATATTCACAATAATCACTCTTATTGCTAAGACTTATTTATTTATAAGTTATATATATATTTTTAATTATTAATATTTTGAAAATATTCTCACCCTCTCTCATTCAGCACATCAATCATAATATTACTATCATCTTGCCTCCAATCACTGGGAACAACCTCTAATCTCCGACGATGATTGTCAGCAGCCACCTCCAATCGTAGCCTCTAACTACCAGCAACGACCTCCAATCTTCAGTAACTTCCAACGACATTTTTTAGACCAATTTTAACAAAAACAATGTTCATCTGTACCATATCACTGCCTCAACCACCTACTTAAATATAGTAACAATAATAGAGTGTAGACACCTCATTTTTTACTGTCCTTAACACTTGGGTGCTTCCGATTGATCACCAAATAATGAATTTATACGCTGTGTAAATGCTCGATTTCCTCAGCAAGAAGTCCAAAAACCTTGCACCACTTTTGGACCAAAACAGAGTTTTTCCAAGCTTGACCACTCACAAGCCAACTAGTGGCTGGCTGGCCAGAAATTAGTGGTCGGTCGTCCCCGTAGTGGTAGGTCGACCGACCAATTGTTCTGATAGAACAGATATTTTGCAGATTTGCTGGATTTGGACTCATTTATGTTTGTCTATTTCACATTGCACTTGTGAAATCAGATTTAGAATCACGAGAATCCGAACTGTAAGAGCTATTGTATCCGAAAAGAGCACGAAAAGCAAGCTACATAGAGATAGACAAAGAAAGATGAGGATAAAATCTTTACTGAAATAATGTTTACATTAGTCTTTACTGTCATAGATCTATTGTGTGCTTTTTTAAAAAAATAAAAAATAAAATAAATAAATAAATAAATTACAGACGTATTCACTCACTCACACTCACTTTATTCACAAAACACACCTCCCCCACATACATATACAAAACAAGATACATTGATAAATTTATCACTCATAAAAGAAATTTCCAGTAAATTTATTTTGAGAAATAAAGAGATAGAAGAGGGAAATGAGGGGCGAGATTTGATGGAGTTATTTGAAGTCAATTTTAACATTAAAACAATTAGATTAGTGTAGATCTAGAACTAAATCAATAGATTGGTGAAGTTATTGTAGAGATTGGTGACAGTGGAGTATAAATTGGCGATGGTGGAGGTGTTTGGTAAACGTTGGTGGTGGAGCGACAATGTATGTTAGCAGCATTGGAGTGTAGATCGGTGATGGTGGAGGTGGTTGGCAAACGATAGTGGTGGATTAATTATGATGGAGTGTAGATCAATGGCAATAGCCAATAAATGGTGATAGTGGACGGTGACAATGATGGTGGCCAATGGACGGTAGTGGTTGGTGATGGTGGCAGTGGCCAGAAATAATGTTGGTATGAGGCTCTTGGAGAGAAAGAAAGTAAAGATGTAAGATCTTAATAGATGAGAATTTTAATGAAATTGTAAACGTTATTAGTATATTAAAAAAGTCAATAGAATTTATAGATATTTAAGTTTCCTTAATGGAATTAGCTGGTAGCTAATCTTAATAACAAAAGGAGTTTTCAATCCTTTTTTGTGGGTTTAATATTTTAAATAATTTTTTATTTTTTAAATCCACTAATTTAGATATATTTAAAAGTATAAATTTTGTGAATTTCTTTTTAATAAATCAATTAAATAGAAAATAAAAATAAAATTCAATATATGTTTCTATTTTATTTGTGTATTTATTGAATTTTTATATATTTCTATAAATATTTTACTTTAATAAAAATAAAAATTCATTAAAATATCAAAAAATCGTTGAAGATAACAAAACATCAAGAATTTAAAATTTTATTTTTAAAAACTTAAAACCAAGCAGGTGTTGTTAGTTGAGAAAATTGGTGAAGCGACTATTTCCATGGGTGCATTGATTTCTTTTGTTTTTAAGGATAAGATAATAAAATGTTTTGTTGAAAATAATAAATTACTATTTTAAATAAATTTTCTTTTCATTTTTACCCTTATGTTGTTACACCCCACACATTACCACCGTTGAACAATCATTGATTGTAGTTGCAAGAGTTCCCAGCAATGACCGGTGGTGGCCTGCAACAGTGATGATGATTTAGACATATAGCTAGATTAGATGGGTAGATGAATGATATGCGAACAAATAAGTAAATAAATGAGTGTCGTGTGAATAGATAGATAATATTTAGAAAACATGTGAATTAAGAGTACAATTTGAGTGAGTTTAGGCGAATTGAGAGGTTATCAGCTCAATCTGAGTTGTGCTGAATGTTGTCTAGGCTCACCTAAACTTGAATTGTAACCCGAGATTGTATATCTAAGCTTGACCTGATTTACGCCTAAATTGCACATAAATTTGAATTATTTATTTTTTGTGTGTATAGCTAAGCTAATTAATTTGTTAAAATTAGATTCTACTAACATTGGGGGGAATTATAGTACAGTAGGATAGAGAAAAAAAAATTAAAAACACATGTAGGGTGCAAGTTATTATGTGGTGGAGTATAAATAAAAAATTGTGCAATTGTTACTTGCACACTTGCACCCCTTCATATTTGTGTAAAAAAAAATAATAATAATTTATTTCACTAGGAGGTAATTCTCCCTTAACATTTTATTGTAAAATTATTAATAATATCAAATCAAACAACTTATATAATATGTGAGAGAGAAGAATTAAAAACCGATGCATCGCTATGATGGTCTTTACAATATTTGAATAACAAAAGAAAAAGATAAAATTTTGAGTTGTATTACTTATATATTTAACATATATTCAATATAATCTAACAATTTAAATTATTTTAATATCATCCAATGATTAATAATTTATATGTATATTTAATATTTTTATATAGTTCAGATTTTAGATTGCTCGGATTGTATGATATTTTTACTCAAACTTGTCCAAATTTTATTTAGGCTTTTAAATCTTTGTTCAAGGTTGCACCAAATGCAAAATTGTTTTACTTAAATCCTAAAAAAATTCGAGCATAGTTCAAATTGCTCGGATTGAAATCGCTCAAAGTACACCCTTAATGTGAACATATGGCAGTTGAATATATAATAGTAATATGATTTTCTATATTATTGTTGTCCTCGTGATTCCAAAAAAAAATATAACTTTGGTTCTAATGAAAAATTATTTGGTAATCCAGAGACACCACTTGGTAATGTTTGTGACCAATCACCAAATACCAAGACCCCTATTGTTTCTCGTGATTCAATACAAAATTATAATTTCCACTTTTCCATCAATCATAATACATCTAAGACACCATGTGATCATACTTTAAGATACCAAATAAATTCTCATAGTAAATGACCCAGATTTAGAAATGATCTTCTGAATTGAGTGCCTCGTTTCAATGTATGATGGCCGAAAGAGATTTTATTTGTACCCAAAAAATTATTAAATATATCCACTTTCTTAATACATTTTATTAAATTATTTAGGATTATAATTTACTCTCAATACAATTTATATTTTTTTTTGAATTATTTTTCAAAATGCACCCAAATAATAAACAAATTAAAAATTTTAAATTACACCACTTTAAAAAACACCCTTTGCATGGCCGAAAGAGATTTTATTTGTACCCAAAAAATTATTAAATATATCCACTTTCTTAATACACTTTATTAAATTATTTAGGATTATAATTTACTCTCAATACAATTTATATTTTTTTCGAATTATTTTTCAAAATGCACCCAAATAATAAACAAATTAAAAATTTTAAATTACACCACTTTAAAAAACACCCTTTGCAGCTGAGTTGGGGTTGCAAAGCATCCCTATGGAGGGGGACTCTCTTACCGCGGTGAAAGCTGTTACCAACACTGAGGAGGATTATTCTGATATTGGAGGGCTGGTGGCAGATATTCGCATTTGACCATGTTCGGTGCACTCAAAGGGGTGTGCGGTGTAGTTCGGGTGATTTGAGAGTAAAATTATAAATTGAATGACGGATTAACGGATTAACAGATTGACAAATTGCAGTTTGGGCGGTTGATGTGGGCCGAAAGGTACCGCATTGAGGTCGCTTAAGTTACATTTATAATCTTTCAATTTTGTTTATTTGGTGGAGATGATGTGTTTTGTGCATTTGTACAAATTTGGCAGAAAATACGCAAATTCAATCAAAAATGACATGAAAGCAAATTCTCCGGGCGAAAAGCAAAAAATCCAAGCCAACCACCTCACCGCACGTGCGGCCAAGCTTCATCGCACGTGCAGCCCACCATCGCTCGAGCGGCCTACCTAGGGTTACGTGCGTAAAATTTTAAGGCTCTTCTGCTGGGAATACAAAGAAAAAGAGGGTTCGAAAATTATTCTAAGGAAAAGGAGTATAACAACCCAGACCCATGATTAACATTAATCCATGCTTAAGTATGCCTAACAAGTAATTAAGAAGAAATTCTGAGTTAATTACTTGTGCATTGCATTGTTTGTGTTTATATCTGTTAAACGTAAAAAGATCTGTTCATGTTTCCGCTTTGATTTGTGAATTGAAGGCCTTATCGGCATCCAATTCAAAAATTAACTTGATATATGTGTTATTCGGGATTTATAAAAATTTGTAGTAGGTTTAATTGAAATTCGATTCGGAACGATTTAAATAGATTAATTTGATGTCCATGTAATTAGCCTTAATTAGCTATTATTAGGCAAGCCTATATAAGGCACCTTTTTGCCTCCACTCATCTCTTTTTCCTTCATTCAACACACTCTTGAGCCTATACACACACAAACGTGAGAGAGGGAGAACAAGGAGGAGATTGAGCTCACTCAAGAGACTTACTAAGGAGAGATAGAATTGAACCTAGAGATTTAAGAATTAAGTCTCTAGCCCTTAATCTTGGGAAGTCTAGGTAAGGATTCAACCTTTATATTGTCTAAATATGATGTGTAGGACTTGAATTCTAAGGAATTAGGAAGGTTGATACAAGATTTGAGTTAAACTTGAAGAATTGTAACTCAAATCATGCATGTATGCATGTTTCATAGCATTTTGAAGTTGTTTTCAAAGATTTTCCCTCATGCATGTTGTAATTCTAGCATGGTTTGAAGAATTCATAACATTTCTCAGCATTAGACCTCATTTGATCTTGTTTTGGGAGGTTGAAGTTTATAACAACTCATGCATGTTATGTTTCAAAGCTTTGAGTTTGAATTTTGTACAATTCACATGCTCTTGAACCTTGATTTTGCGAAACGATCCTAAACTCACTAAGTTTTCCAAGTTTACATAAGTTGTCTTAAGTTTTCCACCCAAAAGAAGATGAATTTCATCATTGGATTCGAGTTTGGAGCTTGGGAGTGCAATATGGAAATTCCAGAATTTGCACTTTCGCTCGAGCGGAAGACCTCGTGCTCGAGCGGCCACCTTTGTTTTCGCATCTTTGCTCGAACGACTAGAAGTCTGCTTGAGTATGAGATGCATGCTTCCAGAAGGTTCATGTTTTACAAACAGCTCGAGTGGCAAAAGTTGCACTCGAGCGAGGAGTTGAGTCTCACGCTCGAGTGACCGTCGAGCATAAAAATCAGATAACCAGTACTTTTTCAAAGTTTGTAGACCACACGAGCGAAGAAGGTTGAGCTCAAGCGGCCCCTCACATGTTTGCTAGTCCACTCGAGAGCGGAAAGCTACACTCGAGCGCGGACTTTATTTTCAGAAATTTCACCAAGTGTTTTCCAACGCATTTTGGCATCCTCGTTGCATCCTAAGCATTCCTAAGTCATATTTAAGACACCATAATGAGGACAAAGAAGTAAAAACACACCAAGACTAAGAAAAACTAAGTTAATGTTTCCGGGTGTGTAATTCTGTATGTATTCGTTTTGTACCCATGTAGGTCACGCGCCTCAAGAGATTTGAATTTCCTACTCTATTCGACTATTTGGAGCCATCTGTTATTTGTGAGTAATAACTCTGTAAAGTTATGTTTAAACTTTAATTAGTTTTTGATGATATGAAATGATTAATTTTCTGTAATGCTATGCTTTGTGTAAATGAATGATCGTCCAAGTTTCTGAAAAGTACTCGTAGCCTTCATAGCATCATGTGATATTTTGTGTCCCTTATGAGTCATCAAGTCCCTCCGTGGGTCATCGAAATGCCTTTATGGCCATCATTTATGGGTCATCGGATACATCTTTGTACACATGAGTCATCAGAATGCCTTATGACTGTCTCTTATGGGTCATCGAAATGCCTTAACGATCGTCCTTTTTATAGGTCATCGGATTTGTTAACGCTAATGGATGTGCCACGTACGATGATATGAAATGTATAAATTTTGATAATAAAAACGAATACGTATACGAATCTGTTTCTAATTTGAAATCTGAATATGCCTAAGACTCTGATTTATGACTCTGTGATGGACATCATTCATTAAAACCCTTTACTTGGTTATTATTCACTAGACTCCCGCTCACTATTTATATTATGTATGTAGGTGATTAGGCGCGTGACCAGGCTCAAAGTTAATGGCTTGCAATTCTGTTTTGTCAGCTACCTTTTGCGCCTCCCGAGGAGGTTCCGGATCATGTCAAGTCCCGTGGCCATATTTGTTTTGTATTTCAGAATTTGGTCCTTTTGTTTTGACTATGGACAAGTCCTACTTGTATGTATAGTGTATGAAGTGACGTGTAATTACTATACCTTTGACGTCACTTGTAAGTTTATAAAAGTTTAAAATTATCTGCCTCATGTATGTTTTCACAACTTAATGGATTATGTATGTTTATATATTTGCTTCCGCAACCCCTAATTACATGAAATTCTGTTAAAAGGCCTTTGGTAATCCAAGGATTACTGGCCGGTTACGACGCTAAACCTATGTGAGTGGGTTTGGGTCATGACAACAAGGCTAGGGTTTTGAAGATGTGATTTTTCCTCAAGCTTCAAAGAGAACTTTCATGGGGGCTTCCACCTTTCCCATCTCTTCCACCTCTTTCCACTCCTCCATGAGTGGCTAGTTTCTTCTTTTCTAGAGTTTTGATGAAACCCTAGCCATGTAATAGGATTTTTCATAAGCTTTGATTGTGAATCGGTTTGAATCAATGTATGGATGATTTAGAAGTTTTTAATAATTGTTCTTTTCATCTCTTCAAGTATTTTACTATCTGTGATTGTCTAGTGCTTTCCATACATTAGTTTTCTTTGTGTTTGTATTCAAAGTGCAAAACGAGTCATGCTACGAGAGACGGGTTGTGTTACTACCATAGTTTAGAGCAAATGTCTCGTGCTACTCGGGATGATTTGTGCCTGTACGTTGAATGCAACAACCCTCTTGATCAATATTTCAAACTTATAGTTGTGAAATATTGGATATTTCAAACTGAATTTCAATTGATGGCCGATGTTAAATCTCATTTATGTAGTAAGTGATGAATTCTTTGCCCTAGGATTTTTTTCCAAAAATCAATATCTCAAACTCTATGTTTAATTGTCAATTTAATTTCTTAATTTCATTTCATTCTTGCTTAGTCATAATACCCATCAATCTCTTTAATCAAAATTAATTTAGGAATTTAACAATTCAGTTAGTTTAATTTCCCGTTTGTCCCTGTGGATCAATACCTGGATTTTTCATTATTTTAAATGAATTTGGTATAGTTTAATATTTATTTTTGGTGTGTGAAACGACCCATCAAATTTTGGTGCCGTTGCCGAGTAGTACTCTTAGATTAGGCTGTGTATTGATTGTCGGTCCTCAACTTCCGGGAAGGGCTGTTGATCCATCTTGGAAAAGAACCCTAACACTTGGGATGTTGACAAGGTGGCCATCAACAGTGGACAGCAGTCCTATTTCAGTGAGTGACTCGTACATGTTCTAGTAGAAGAGCCATACTAGATGAGGATAAGTAAGCGCGATAACAGTGCAAAGGCCCAACTATTGCAGGAGGCGGAGCTGCTTAACGACCCAAGAGGTAACTGGGTCATTCTAAAAATAGTTGAGCTTGAACTGTATGAGCTTGTGAAGTAGGCGTGAAGCCCACTCCGATCGTGGCAACTTAACCGGTGGTAATGACGAGGATGGTGGTGATGGTGATGGTGGCAGCGATGCTGTTGAGGAGGATGAACCTCTGGCCTTTTTGGAGGCCCAGATGGATAGTCCTCTACTCTGACAATCACATCAAGAATAGCAATGTCATCCATGAGATTATGCAATCTAGTTAACACCCAAACGTAGTTATCAATCTACTCAAATTGGAGATATGCAAAGGCCACGGAGAATGACATATCAGTGGATGTCACACCAACTATCTCAAGAAGAGGAAGACGATATCGATTTGTCTTATATGTGCAGTCCATGATCAACACTTTTGGAAATGAACGGAGCAAATCTGAACTGACAGGACGTGCCCAAAACAAGTTTGTGATAGTCATCGTGTTGTTGTCACACCTATGCCGCTCAGTGTAATTATACTTTTCTAATTCACCCAACAACTGTTGCATCTGTGATCTCCCAACTTTCTCAATAACATTATTCCTATGATGTACATTGTAAATGGTTTTCATAGTGGTTACATTCAAAGCATCCTTTCGTTTCAATGTAACCAAAATCTCTTTTGGTCTGACCATGTTTTTGGACATATCCACTAATAATGATGTTTCCTGTAACGCCCTCAAAAAAACACATTAAACCCATCAATATAGACATGCATTGGTAATAAAGATAAACATTCTTCTATTCTTCAGAGTAGTTCCTTACAAAGGTATTACATGTTAACAACAAAAGCAAATGCCCTACGGGCTTACAGCTTTCCAAGTTAACACTTGGTTACAACAAAAGAGATTCGAAGGTCGTTTGGACATGTATGAATGGACCAAAGGTCGTTTTGACATGAATGAATGGGCCAGAGGCCGTTTTGACACGAATGGATGGGCTAGAGGCCGTTCTGACATAAATGAAAGTATAAATGGGCCGAAGGCCAGCCTGATACGAACCACGGTCACTTGACTTAAATTGTGTATATATATATGTTAAATAGAAGTATGAATTGGGCCCAAGGCCATTTGGAGTATGTTGTTCTACATATCGTTTGTATGACTTCTTTGTTTGATATTATTCACTGGGCTATCGCTCACGCTCATTCATGTGTTTGTAGGTGAGCCAAGAGAGGTCCAAACCCAGCCTCAGTGAAGTTTGTGTGGAACAACCAAGGTTTTGAAGAGTCAGCCCTTGTGTCTCACGCACGAGACCCATCTTCGTCCTTTTGTTATGTATTTACATTTTGTCAGGTTGGTGAAGTTTTGAATACGTCTGTATATAGTTTTCATGGGTTGACTTAGTTTGGATGATCCTGTCTGTATAGAATCTTATGTCATTACACTTTCTGTTGTGAGTTATTAACATATGTACATATGGAATGTTATGGTGTGCATATAAGCACGGCTCTATGGACAAAGTTTTAAATTTGCTTCCGTTTGGCCCCTTTTACTCTGATGAGTCTTGTCTTATTTGGTTTGAGGCCGTAGGTAATCTCGTGATTACTGGTCAGTTATGGCCTTAACCCATAGGGGCGCGGTTCGGGTCGTGACAAACACTGAGGAGGATTATTCTGATATTGGAGGGCTGGTGGCAGATATTCGCATTTGACCATGTTCAGTGCACTCAAAGGGGTGTGCGGTGTAGTTCGGGTGATTTGAGAGTAAAATTACAAATTGAATGACGGATTGACGGATTAACAGATTGACAAATTGCAGTTTGGGCGGTTGATGTGGACCGAAAGGTACCGCATTGAGGTCGCTTAAGTTACATTTATAGTCTTTCAATTTTGTTTATTTGGTGGAGATGATGTGTGTTGTGCATTTGTACAAATTTGGCAGAAAATACGCAAATTCAATCAAAAATGACGTGAAAGCAAATTCTCCGGGCGAGAAGCAAAAAATCCAAGCCAACCACCTCACCGCATGTGCGGCCAAGCTTCATCGCACGTGCGGCCCACCATCGCTCGAGCGGCCTACTTAGGGTTGCGTGCGTAAAATTTTAAGGCTCTTCTGCGGAGAATAAAAGGAAGAAGAGGGTTCGAAAATTATTCTAAGGAAAAGGAGTATAACAACCCCAACCCATGATTAACATTAATCCATGCTTAAGTATGCCTAACAAGTAATTAAGAAGAAATCCTAAGTTAATTACTTGTGCATTGCATTGTTTGTGTTTATATCTGTTAAACGTAAAAAGATCTGTTCATGTTTCCACTTTGGTTTGTGAATTGAAGGCCTTATCGGCATTCAATTCATAAATTAACTTGATATATGTGTTATTCGGGATTTATAAAAATTTGTAGTAGGTTTAATTGAAATTCGATTCGGAACGATTTAAATAGATTAATTTGATGTCCATGTAATTAGCCTTAATTAGCTATTATTAGGCAAGCCTATATAAGGCACCTTTTTGCCTCCACTCATCTCTTTTTCCTTCATTCAACACACTCTTGAGCCTATACACACACAAACGTGAGAGAGGGAGAACAAGGAGGAGATTGAGCTCACTCAAGAGACTTACTAAGGAGAGATAGAATTGAACCTAGAGATTTAAGAATTAAGTCTCTAGCCCTTAATCTTGGGAAGTCTAGGTAAGGATTCAACCTTTATATTGTCTAAATATGATGTGTAGGACTTGAACTCTAAGGAATTAGGAAGGTTGATACAAGATTTGAGTTAAACTTGAAGAATTGTAACTCAAATCATGCATGTATGCATGTTTCATAGCATTTTGAAGTTGTTTTCAAAGATTTTCCATCATGCATGTTGTAATTCTAGCATGGTTTGAAGAATTCATAACATTTCTCACCATTAGACCTCCTTTGATCTTGTTTTGGGAGGTTGAAGTTTATAACAACTCATGCATGTTATGTTTCAAAGCTTTGAGTGTGAATTTTGTACAATTCACATGCTCTTGAACCTTGATTTTGCGAAACGATCCTAAACTCACTAAGTTTTCCAAGTTTACATAAGTTGTTTTAAGTTTTCCACCCAAAAGAACATGAATTTCATCATTGGATTCGAGTTTGGAGCTTGGGAGTGCAATATGGAAATTCCAGATTTTGCACTTCCGCTCGAGCGGAAGACCTTGTGCTCGAGCGGCCACCTTTGTTTTCGCATCTTCGCTCGAACGACCAGAAGTCTGCTCGAGTATGAGATGCATGCTTCCAGAAGGTTCATGTTTTACAAACAACTCGAGTGGCAAAAGTTGCACTCGAGCGAGGAGTTGAGTCTCACGCTCGAGCGACCGTCGAGCGTAAAAATCACATAACCAGTACTTTTTCAAAGTTTGCAGACCGCTCGAGCGAAGAAGGTTGAGCTCAAGCGGCCCCTCACATGTTTGCTAGTCCACTCGAGCGCGGAAAGCTACACTCGAGCGGGGACTTTATTTTCAGAAATTTCACCAAGTGTTTTCCAACGCATTTTGGCATCTTCGTTGCATCCTAAGCATTCCTAGGTCATATTTAAGACACCATAATGAGGACAAAGAAGTAAAAACACACCAAGACTAAGAAAAACTAAGTTAATGTTTCCGAGTGTGTAATTCTGTATGTATTCGTTTTGTACCCGTGTAGGTCACGCGCCTCAAGAGATTTGAATTGCCTACTTTATTCGACTATTTAGAGACATCTGTTATTTGTGAGTAATAACTCTGTAAAGTTATGTTTAAACTTTAATTAGTTTTTGATGATATGAAATGATTAATTTTCTGTAATGCTATGCTTTGTGTAAATGAATGATCGTCCAAGTTTCTGGAAAGTACTCGTAGCATTCATAGCATCATGTGATATTTTGTGTCCCTTATGAGTCATCAAGTCCCTCTGTGGGTCATCGAAATGCCTTTATAGCCATCCTTTATGGGTCATCGGATACATCTTTGTACACATGAGTCATCAGAATGCCTTATGACTGTCTCTTATGGATCATCGGAATGCCTTCACGGTCGTCCCTTTTATAGGTCATCAGATTTGTTAATGCTAATGGATGTGCCACGTACGATGATATGAAATGTATAAATTTTGATAATAAAAACGAATATGTATACGAATCTGTTTCTAATTTGAAATCTGAATATGCCTAAGACTCTGATTTCTGACTCTGTGATGGACATCATGCATTAAAACCCTTTACTTGGTTATTATTCACTGGACTCCCGCTCACTATTTATATTATGTATGTAGGTGATCAGGTGCATGACCAGGCTCAAAGTTGATGGCCTAGAATTCTGTTTTGTCAGCTATCTTTTGCACCTCCCGAGGAGGTTCCGGATTATGTCAAGTCCAGTGGCCATATTTGTTTTGTATTTCAGAATTTGGTCCTTTTGTTTTGACTATGGACAAGTCCTACTGGTATGTATAGTGTATGAAGTGATGTGTAATTACTATACCTTTGACGTCACTTGTAAGTTTATAAAAGTTTAAAATTATCTGTCCCATGTATGTTTTCACAGCTCAATGGATTATGTATGTTTATATATTTGCTTCCGCAGCTCCTAATTACATGAAATTCTGTTAAGAGGCCTTTGGTAATCCAAGGATTACTGGCCGGTTACGACGCTAAACCTATGTGAGTGGGTTTGGGTCGTGACAAAGAGGCTAGGGTTTTGAAGATGTGATTTTTCCTCAAACTTCAAAGAGAACTTTCATGGGGGCTTCCACCTTTTCCATCTCTTCCACTTCTTCCACCTCTTTCCACTCCTCCATGAGTGGCTAGGTTCTTCTTTTTTAGAGTTTTGATGAAACCCTAACCATGTAATAGGATTTTTCATAAGTTTTGATTGTGAATCGGTTTGAATCAATGTGTGGATGATTTAGAAGTTTTTAATAATGGTTCTTTTCATCTCTTCAAGTATTTTACTATCTGTGTTTGTCTAGTGCTTTCCATACATTAGTTTTCTTTGTGTTTGTATTCAAAGTACGAAACGAGTCATGCTACAAGAGACGGATTGTGTTACTACCATAGTTTAGAGCAAATGCCTCGTGCTACTCGGGATGATTTGTGCCTGTACGTTGAATGCAACAACCCTCTTGATCAATATTTCAAACTTATAATTGTGAAATATTAGGTATTTCAAACCGGATTGTAATTATTGGCCGATGTTAAATCTCATTGATGTGGTTAGTGGTGAATTCTTTATCCTAGGATTTTTTTCCAAAAGTTTATATCTCAAACCCTAATTTTAATTGTCAATTTAATTATTCAATTTCATTTAATTCTTTTTTAGTCATAATATTCATCAATCTTTTTAATCAAAATTAATTTAGGAATCTAGATATTAAATTAGTTTAATTTCTCGTTTGTCCCTGTGGATCAATACCTGGACTTGCCATTATTCTAAAAGAATTTGGTATAGTTTAATGTTTATATTTGGGGTGTGTAACGGCCGGTCAGCGGTTTTTGATGGATTGGCAGATTGAAGAATATTCTAACTAATTATCATACATTTGCATAGTATATAACACTAATTTGTATAATATTTTTTAGATATATAACACAAAGTAATTTTATATAATATGTTTCCTGTATATAACCACTAATTTGTAACAAAGTTCATATCTTAAATCTCTCTCACACTCATTTTTACATTGATATTT